CTGGAAAACTAGTTTAGAATGAGAGACAAGTGGTAGGCAATTGTAATATACTGTACAAAATAGTGAAAGCCCAGTTCAAGTGTTAAGATATTGTTCCTGCTTTCTCCTACCTTTAAGCTTTGTATATTATAGTGGTGACATTGCTGGTTTATTTTTTGAAGTTAATTAGTATTTTAATATTTTAAAAAAATATATGTAAAACCTTGTTTCTATGTATAATCTGTAATTATACATACTGTACTGTATATACATGGGAGCAACCATATTTGCTCAAAACATACTCAGGCCCTGCTTTCTTCTTTGCAGTGCTACACAATTGTTGTGCTGATCTGCTCCTTCCCAACGTGGAGGTCTATGGGTCTGATTTACTAAAGCATATGAAAATGTACTGCTGTTGCATTTACACTGGCAACATAGTCATACCTTCAAAGTATTTACTATACGCCCATACCAGTCACAGCATACTGCACATGCAGCGAATTCACAGTGAATTTAATAAATGCAAATTGATAAGCACTCAATGCACCAGTGTTCAAATGTCAGCAAAGTCAGATTTTTAGAGCCATGTGTTAGCGATTTTTACATGGGCATTTCATCCAGACCACATGAAGTGTCCCCTGCTATCACTAAGATGTGTGTCAAAAACTAAGAGCACATGCATTTATCATATGGCTTCATTTATAAAACTTCCACTTCGCTATATGCAGTTTACAAGGCACTAGCGCCCCTAGAGGCTGCTGAGTGTAGGAAATTCCTATACTTGTCAGTGCCATCTAGATACATAGTCCAATCTAAAGAATCAATCACAAAATTTAAAAACACTTTGAGGGGAATTTATCAAGACAGAAGCAGACAAAATGTGGAGCAGCTGCACAGGGCAACCAATCAGCTTATCTCTGTAAAGGTTGCCATACGCTTTACAACCCTCGCAAGACTTTTGTCTTGCGAGGGTTGTAAAGTAATTAAAAAAACGTACGATCTGCCAATCTTGGACAGGCAGATCGTACTTGCGATCATCGCAAGCCCGCCCCCCTGAGGGGCGGGCTTCTGATGACTGCAATGAGGGGCGGGCTTCCGATGACTGCACACGGGCAGTGTGCGCACACCGGCCCGTTCGACAGTTGTCGAACAAGCAGGCCACTAACTTGCCGAGAAACGAGCCCGCTTGTTCGACGGAAGACCTTCGACCGTACAGTAGAAATGGTCACACGCCTTCCATACACTTTGCGATTATCATACGATCGCGGGATTTCCCACGATTCTCGTACGATAATCGTGCAGTGTATAGGCACCTTTATTTTCAAATCTTAACTGAACAAACTGAAGAGAGAAGCCGATTAGATGCCCTGGGCAACTGCTCCAGGTTTTCTCTGCTCCAGTTTTGATAAATTCCCCTTATGTGATTTAATCAATTCGAGAGTAGTTAGTTGAAAATTATAATGCAATTTTTCTTAACACCTATTCGTGTTTTAATTGACTGATCTATTGCAGTCAGTTCAAGGCAATTTGGATTTGAAATGTCCTAAGATGCCAAGGATATTAAAAAATGTTTTTAGTTATTTCATCTATGCAAGCTGTACTAGATTTTAAAAATGTAATGAAGCAAGGTTGCACCTGCCTTAAGTATCTATTAGGGATGCACAGATACTTGGCATTTTCATGAGAACTACCAGGGTTGCAGCAGTTGCAGCTGGGACCTGTCTCTGGCACTCCACCACTGTCCCCAAATCATTAGTCTGTATTGTTTTAGAAAAACTGTCACATGACAATAAACAAAAATGTATCAGTACTCGTACTTGTAAGTACTCGGCAAGTACCAGTACTCATACTCGCAAAACTGGTATCTGTGCATCCCTTTATTTATATTTATAAAAACAAAAGCAGACATTAAAACAGAGATGTACAAATCCCAGGAGCTCCGTGTGCTCCTTACATATGACAGTTGCCTCCTAATTTTTTAATTTTTCTCTAGTGTAGTCTTGGAGCTCAAATGTATCAGTACATGTACTCTTACTTGTACCGAGTAATGTACTTGGTATCTGTGCAACCCTGTTATCCATCATTGTAAAACATTTCAGTTCAGTACAAAAGCTCAAGATTTTTGTCACAAACAATGTGCATTTTTCTGTTCTTGCAGGAAATTGTACTTAGCCTACAAATTGATACAGCCACCACATGTAAGGACTGGTAAGCTACAATATACTATATTTATGTTCTTAGGTTAAGTTATACCTGGCTGTGAAGTAAGGAGTTTGCTATCATCCATGTTACATGACCAGCATACCAGAAAATGCCAGTAACGGACTGTCCTATAAAGTTCAGAATTTTCATAATGCCACAACAAATTGTAAACAATTTTTATAGAACTGATTAGTGAATTCTCATAAAGCATACGAGTCATAAAAACAATTGTATCTCAGCTTTTACTCAGGCTACACTATTAACCACTTGAAGACCAGGGTGTTAAACCCCCTTCCTGGCCAGGCCATTTTTCAGTATTTACTATATTAAAAAGAAAAAATTACTGAAAAAAAGTACCCTAAATTTTGACGAAAAAAAAACGTTTCCCTATGAAATGTTATGAAACATTTATTATCACCCCAATTTTTTGGTAAAATTTAAAATACTTGGGGGTCATTGTAGACCACAAACTAAAGGGTAGTTTGCAGTGCCAGGCTGCTGTAAACAAAGCAAGTAGGGTTTTGTCCTGTATTAAGAAGGGGGATGTACTACAGAGACAAGTCTATAATTGTGCCACTTTACAGATCACTGGTTCGGCCTCACCTGGAGTACGCGGTCCAGTTTCGGTCACCAGTATTAAGAAAAGATGTCCTTGATCTGGAGAGGGTCCAGCGGAGGGCAACTAAACTAATTAGGGGAATGGAGGACCAGAACTATGAGACAAGGCTCATACATTTAAACATGTTGACGTTGGAAGTAAGGAGATTAAGGTTGGATATGATTTTCATGTACAAGATGTTCAATGGCGACAGCAAAATTGGCAGCAAACTCATTAAGATTAACTCAGTTACAAAAACTAGAAGAATAAACAATTTGGGGAACTGGTGGTATATGGGTATTAGCTTCAGTCGCTCGCTCCTATATTGCAGTCTGTTTAAAAAGCATATTATTGTTTGCCAAATCTAACATGCTGATCCCTTTGTTACAAAGTGTGCATACCAGTATTAAATAACAGAGCCCCATGGCAATTTCCATCTTAGAGCTCTATTATTCAACATTGTTATACATTCTTTGTAGTTGGAAGACAGTGTATGAGGTCAGGTATTTGAAAAAGACAGCAGTTGTCAGATTTCATATGGCAAAATATAAAAAAACCCTTTACTGAATGTATTTGTAAACTGTTAACATGCAAACCTATTATCTGACACCCTTCCACCGTCTGTAGGCTGCTGCTGTAAAGTGATGATTTTATATGCAAATAGAGCCAGCAATCCAAGCTTGGCATTGATTCACTTTTTGACTAGCAAGGGTTTCTAAAATGGTGGGGGGAATCAGGCTGTAGGCACAATGCTCATGTACTGAAAACTTAAAGCAAGGCAGAGCAGACAAATTGCAGAACTGGGTTCTAGCACCTCATTTTGTCTTCTAAAACAGGCATACATTTTAATCAGTTTCTACCTGAAGCATACTGACAATTTCACTAGCTCCAGGTACTGTTCTTCAAAAGGAAACATGATATCAATGAGGACACAGGCTCAGCCATCTGTCATTACAGGGCTCTGCAGCACTGGAATCATATAAATTGCATGAAACTACTTTCAAGTAGAAAAGTCTCTAAAAGATTCTCCCATATTCAGCACTGCTGCTGTTGTAAGCAAATTGATAAGGGACTAAAAAGAAAGCCGAGTACTGATTTCCCAGCCTAATTTAGATGCTTAATGAATGAAGATGAAATCAATGCTTTGAGCAAATCTGCCACTAATCTAAAATGAAGAGTCTTAAAAACATAATTTTTATACTTACTGTCAAATTATTATTTTTTGAATTTATTGAGAGACTCAGGAATTCAGAAACAGTTAGATTATACTGTCATCTACAGGTTGTTGGGGCACAGACAAAAAAAAAAAAGTTGTAAGCTAGCCCCATCAATTGAACCAGGCCTGTGTTGGCTATCACCTGTCATCTAGCTGATAATGTGGAATCAATAAAGTAGTGTATTGGACTCTAAAGAGTGGTTTTGGCGCTCCCAAGTGCCTGATTACAAACAGATTTCACCAACCAGGTGACCCTGGAGAGCCTGATTTTTGAGGGTAGCTGCCGGACCTAGGCCATTGAGCTGAAACAGATACTTAGGAAAATGGGCCCAGTTCCTCACTCACACTTCCTTCTGAGTTTCCTTGTAGGTCATTTTACTGGACTCTTGCAGCAAGAAATCTGTTGAGGGGCCCAACTTAAGCTTCGAACAGATATGGCCTCATCGGTGTCTATTGCTGGTATCTAATGGTTACAAACAAACACGATTGTGGCTCCTTCCTTGATTGTTAGGGAAATCCCCCCTCCTTTCTCTTTAGGGGCTTGTAGAGTGTTGAGGGATCATGCTCCAAACCTCACCTATCCTTCAGGACTCATTTAGCTTCCACCTCAGTACTTGGGAGTCTGGATTTGAGGCAGGATATTAAGATGGTCCCTATAGAATAAGAGCTCCCTGATGTGAACCCTCAGTCACTTAGGATTAATGGCGTGGATTCATCCTCCCACCCTGCAAGGACTCAATTTGCCTGGATGTGTTCATACTTGGGGTTTGAGTGCAGTTTCCCAGAGCAGTTTGTCCCGGTTTCTTCAAGGGATTCTGCTGTGTGTACATCCTAGACCCTGTTGGACATCAGTGTAGTACTGTGAAACCTCACATCAAATTTGACGTTAACTGCAAGGATTAATAAAAACACTCTAGGGGAATGTTTTCTGTCCTGACATGATCTGAATAGGAATGTCTGAAAAAGTGCAGGTTAAGGAACAGTACCGTATAATGTATGTCTAACCTTGGAGTTGGTATTGATGGCCTGCTTAACGGAATTAAGCTGTTTCTGTAGCTCCTGCATTTTCTCTCCATAGAAGCTTTCTGAACTAGTCATTTTTTAATGTTTTGTTTCCAATTAACAGGTAATGTTGGAATCCTCCTGGAATTAGAAGAAAATGGAATTAGGTTACTTCCTTTTTGCATGGGATGATCTATAATAAATTGTCGTCTCACAGCTACATTTTACCATTAATGTGCACAATTTGGAATTTCATTACAAAAGAAGAAGAACAGGAGCCTACAGAAATGAGATTCACTTTTTAATTTACCCATAGTCCATCATTTAGAGGGACTGTCCCTCTTTTGGAACCAAATCTCTATGCCCCTCTTTCCTCCCCAGCTGTCCCTCTTTTTGGACCAATGTCTAGACCTTTATAATAAATGCAATAGTGCATGATGTCACTGCCCCTTATGTAATCAGATAACACCTACTATCAATTCATAAAAATACATTCACTAAATGGTCTCTGTGCTTTAACCACCCGAAAAATTGCTGTAACACTGTAGAAGCTGCACCTACTACAGTGTTTTACGGGATCCCTGTGGCCCTGCCAGGGACAATTTATCTATACTTACATTGATCCAAGCTGGACCAATTAAGTTATATATAAAATATCTATAAGCTAGAGTTTGTGTAAATGTTAAAATCAGGGGCGTCTAGAGGCGTGGTGTCACCCGAGCCGGCCAACGGGTGACACCCCGCTCTGTCATCACGCATGTGCGTAACGTCATCACGCACGGTTGCCTGCTGGTGCCCATTTTGGTGATGGATAACAGCAGAGAGAGGAGGGGATGTTGACCCGGCAGGATAAAGTATGCAACTGAGTCCCCTCCTCTCTCGTGCAACTTTTCAGAGGGGGTGATACCAAAATGACTGTCAGTCATTTTGGTGTCACCCCTTCCAATGGTGTCACCCGGTACAGGCCGCAACCCCAGCACCCATCTAGTGACACCACTGGTTAAAATAGCACTGCACAGTGTACGTATAGTTTTGTAATAAAATCCAAGAGTCATCTGTACCCACCCCCACACCGAAAAAGTTAGTTGGTATAGAGACCTCAAATGCTCACACTCCAATATGCCTGTGCTCTATTGCATATCTACAGTGTCCAGGACATTTAAAAAAAATCAACATAAAGAAAGTCTACCTGATGCCCTTATAAAAATTATCTATTTTGTTTACATTTAAACATAAAACCTTTTCTTGTCGAAGCAGTTTCTTTTATTAATCTACAATTCAAATAAACAAGAACATTTTCCCTTTTCATTGAGTCAGGGGAGACAGTCTTCCCACTCAGTAATCTAATATTTATGCTGGCACTGATCTGATGTATCTAGCTGCCCTGCTTGCTAAATCCCTAGAGTTGCAAGTATCATTTTCTTTTGAATAGTCCTGAACCTGAGCTTGCAATTTGCAGTCTGTTGTTTTCTGGCTTCTGATGAGCTCTTTCTAAGAGAGAAGATACAAAGCACAGCATCATGTAAGTGCTGCCCTGAAGATCCAGTTTGCATTTTTCCTCTCATCACACTCCTACGATGGGCTGGGGTGCATTGTCATGGGATTTGAGTTCACCGCTGTCCCAGGAACTCCACAGAAAAGTATAAATACCTCACAATTAGTGGGGAAGCAAAAGTCACAGATCCAGAACGTCATAGCATATCAATAGGTAACAATGGAAATCCTTAGGTAGCATCTTGTCCCAAGCCAACCAAACGGTAGTAATATCTAGAGGAGGGCTCAAAATGTCAAGTCCTGAGCTACTAGCCAGGCCTTAAGAGTTACTAGCCACCAGTTGCCCCACCTAACCCTTACCCTGGCCCGGCCTTAACTCCGCCCCTAAACACACCCTCTTAAATAATCTTATGATACTTCTTATCTTATGATAGTTGCCACTTGTAAACGGCAGATTAGGGATTCCTGTTGCAGGAAAACGCAAGTTCCTGACACAGGAATCTCTAATCAGACCTGAAATATACTGTAGGTGTGAATGGGGCCTAATATACACATACACTAAAGGTGTCCATACACCTGCCGATTATCGTATGATAGTTGTGGGTGAGCCTGCGATCGTGCGATAATTGGCAGGTGTATATGGGCAGCGTGCGACCACTTCTACTGTAAGGTCGTACGACTTTCGTCTTCCAAGCACGCTGGAAAACCTGGCGAAAATCGTACGAATTTTGGCGGGTTGGTGGCGTGGTCGGAAGACGAATGCCGCACGGGCCGCTGTGCGCAAGCGCACACTGCCCGCTCAACACTGCAATATTGGGAAGCCCGTCCCTCGATCTGCCTGTCCAAGATGGGCAGATCGTACAAGATTTTAATGACCTTACAACCATCGCACAACAAAAGTCATGCAGTGGTTTTAAAAGGTGTATGGGTAGCTTAAAACACAATAATACACTTCTCAACGTTATACCACCACCACATCCCCCCTCCCAAATAATAAAATTCCCCCGCACACAAAAATGAATACACTCCCCACCGTTATAAGCCCCCCGCCCCACAAACAAAATAATTTACTCCACCCTTATTAACCACCCCCACACACATAAAATAATATGCTTCCCCATTATTAACCACCCCACACACACATAATAATACACTCCCCCCGAGCCCCCTCACCTGTTCACGTCTTTGCAGGGAGGAGGCTGTGAGCAGGATCGATCCCAGGTTATCTGGGGGTGATTAGTGAGGTATGCAGCAGACCTCACTAATCACCCCCAGATAAACTGGGATTGATCCTCCTCACATACATTCTTTCGGCGGGAGCTCAGAACTGTTAGAGCTCCGGCCGAAGGAAGCCAGAGCGGACATGAGCTGCTCTGCGGTCTGCATCCGACACAGATGCAGACCGTGAAGCTGCTCCCGCAAGTCAGGTACGCGGTCTGCGACCGTGTGCCTGACATGCCAGCTGTCTGCGGGTCACATACTACCGGCTCGCGGGCCGGAGTTGGCCTGCGGACCGGTACTTGGAGACCCAAATTTCCACTTCACTTTATTTTTACTCGCCAAATGCGAGCAGACGGTGGACATTTTGAGCCCTGATCTAGAGGGCTGCTATATGAAAGACCTAGAGTTCTACATACCAAGCCAATAAGCTATCTTACACATACGTGTAGAGCAGCTGCTGTAAAAGGTGATGTCTGGATTCAGTGGCGGACCTAAGGAGCAAAGGGCCCTGGTGCAAGATTTTTGCATCTCTCACCATCTCTCCTCCTTCTGACTCCTCCATCTACAGCTCTCCTTTGGTTCTCTCGGCACCTGCGCACTGCCTGCCCCACTCTCACCGCCTGTTAGTAGGGACGCAAGTCCAAACAGGAACACGGACCCCCATCCCCCCTTTCAAAAGCCTGTCGTACACCCCTCCCCCAGGCACACCGCATTCCCCTGTCTTCCTCCCAAACCTCCCCTGCCTCCCCCCCAAAAGCAAACAAATAGGGTAAGAACATGGGAACCCATTAGTTAGCTGTAGGAAACCTCAAGTAAGTGAGACCACCTAATGAAAAAACAAAAACAAGGGCCGTCTTCCCTCGTGTAGATACATTTTTATTAAGCAAATGGCAAAAATAGAATACTCACAAACGAGTAGATAACAATGAGCCTTCACAATCAAAGGTTGATCCTCAGTCTTAACAAAAAGCAAGACACAGCATGCGAGAGCTGCACAGATGATGGTTCCTGTGTGACAGCACAGTATGCCTAGGTTGCCGCGTTTCCGGCACCACGCCCCCTTCCTTAGAACCTGTGAGAACCACCTCTTGCACCTACTTAAAACATACCTAAATCCAAAATGTAATATACTGCAGGTTACCAGTGCTTAACTATGGTGACTGCATTAGTTTTAATTTTTTTTTTCTACTTTATTTTCACCTGGTAGTCCGTCCAGTAGCACACTTCCTGTCTTATGGTGGCTCCACTCTCTTGAGGAGGAAAGGAGCCCCACTTGGACAGCAGCATTGTCAACTTGTGCAAAGGGTAGTGTTAAGTGTATTTTCAAATTTAGATGGACTTGACTAACAAATTAAAGACAAACTGCAGCTAACACTTTAAGCAGTTACAGCGAAAGGTTTGTTTTCCTTTTGGGATAAAGGCTTTATATGAAAGAATAAAAGCTGAAAACTGTAAGCACCCCTGCCAGTGTTAAATGTTTTGTCTCAACCCTCTTTTTGCCACTTTTGCTAGACAACTTGGCCAGTTAAAGAAAGTTAAAAAATTACAGACTTTCTACCCAGATCACCAGATGAAAATTAAGGGGGGGAAAAAAAGCCTAAAAAAAGAAAATGAATGCAACCATCTTATAGGTAATCTGCAATATATTATTTTTTTGCTTTTGAGTTTAGATACACGTTGGCTCATGCTCTGCTATCTTGTCCAATAGCCAGTGACACTCCACATCATTGCATATTTGAGAAACATAGGCTAGGGAGCACCTCCTAAACGTGTGCCCTGCTTCCATTAGTCAGGAGGCCCGTTCATCATGGTGTTTGCGTTTTACATTAGCATTGGGTCAAGAGGATTCCTAAAGTGTATGTAGCCAGCCTGTGGACGGTGTGGCTTGTTCTGGGTGGGGGGAGGAGTCCCAGAGAGACAACCTGTGTGGTTGAGTATTTTGCAGTCGCAAGTTGAGGTCTCTGACCAGCTGCAGCTGAGTAGAACTTTGGGGAGCAAGCTGCTACTTGTCTTCAGAATTTCCCTGGTGCCTAGTGGGATTCACACCCCTCAGCAGCATGTGCCTGCAACTTACTCACCTTGTGTGTCTGTCCCCTTTAGTCTCTGGAGGGTGAGCGTAAGTTCCCATGCTGTCGATGAAGACAATCATGTCCCTTTCCCAGTCATGTACCAATCAACCTCTTGTCCATTGTTGAGCAATTCATCACCAGCAGAGGGCAGGAAACGTCTTTGGCGTAACCTCGATAATGCCTGGGCTGTGCAACTTACACATCTTAAAAGGGGCCACCAGCCAGGGATACACAGCCAATGCTGTAAAAAATATTAAAACATGCTAAACAGCCCTAGATGAACAGATGAATAGTCCGAAATGAGGTATAACTGGCACCTAGACTTTGTGATATTGTGTGGTAAAAAGGCTCCAGAAG